ACAGGATTTGGATGAGGACAATAATAATGATACCTAGAAGTTTATTGTTTACTAAGCATGGTCATGTAAATGCTGTCATTTAATCCTCACAAAAATGTTGCAAAGTAGGGACTGTCATTTCCATTTTACAGGTGAGGGGTTATTAAGGAACATGATCAAGGTCATGCAGCCGAGATTCACCCCCTAGGTCACTGGGCTCCAAGTTCCATGGTCTTTCCTAAGCAAAGGCCGATGTTTCTTCTTTTATCCAAACATGAGATACCTACCACCCCATCATCAAGGGGAAGAGAGCACAGCAGATTCTGAACACCACCCTTTTATCCTCCTGCCCCCGGCTCACTGCTGGGAAAGGAGCTGGTAGTCAGGGACCCATGCCTGGCAATTAGGCTTTGCCTCCTGCTCACCATGATGTTGTCTTCAGACCATACAGATGATCAGCAACTGCAGTGATGAGATGCTGTCCTGAGCAGAGAGCAGGAGACAGGAGAAGAGAGTGAGAAGCCCAGACAGCCACCCAATTCCAATGTCAATGTTATCACAGAAATTCTCCTGTTGCAGACCTGCCAGGTGCTAAGGAATATTCTTGAGAGATACTTTATTGAAAATCCTCAAGAGAATTCTGCAAGAGGCTTTATGATGCCACTTCACAAATGAGGAAACTGAGGCCTAGAAAGATCAAATAACATGCCAAGGCAACATAGCTCAGCAGAGGCAGAATAATAATGTACTGCATTCATTCATGCAACAAACCAAGTGCCCACTACATGCAAGCTTGGCGCTACAGATGCAGCATTATCCCTGTTTGATGACAGGGAAAACAAAGAGGAGGAAGAAGAGAAGGAATTAACTGGGAAGACAGAGGGAATAAGACAACCGAAGGCCTTGAAGAAGGAAAGAAGCAGGAGGTGTTCAAGGAATTGAGAGAAGGCCAGCATGGCCAGAATGCAGAGAGGGAGGGAGGGGAACGGGATGAGCCTGGAGCAGTAGATAAGCGCCAGACCAGGCATGCCCTGGAGCCCATGACAAGATGTTTGGCTTCATCATGAGCTACAGGAAGCCTCTGAATAGCTTTAAAGGCAGGGGAGTGATCTGATCGGATTTTCATTTTTTAAAAATTATTCTGGCTTTGTGGAGAATGGACTGCAAAGAAGCAAGACTGGATGTGGAGAGACTAGCTGGGAGGCTACTACAGAGGTCTGGGGAAAGTCAATGAGCATGAACGAGGGTGACTGTGTTGACAGTGGAAGCAGGTAGAGAAGTATTTAGAAAATAAACCGACAGGACTCAGATTAACTGGCTATCCCCAAAGAAGTGTCTGGATGGACTTCCAGGACTTGAGCAACTGCGTGGATGCTGATGCTGTGCCCTGAACATAGAGAATGCAACAGAAGACCAGGTCTAGGGGAGAGGGTGGCTTCCTAATTCCATTTTGGACATTTGGAGTTTAAGAAGCCTATGAGACATCAAGATAAAGATATCAAGTGGGAAGTTAGTAATACCTCAAACCAGCAGCTATTCTAATATTTTTACTGTTCACATTGCTTTTTATAACATTATCGCATTCTGCCTGAATCAGAGCTGATTCTGAATACGTCTGTCTCTTCCAAAAGGTTAATTCCTAAAGCACCCACACCACATCTCAATCATCATGACATTCCTACACATGGCAACTGCCCCTGCAATAGGTCCCCTATCCCGCCCCACCTACCTGAATGCTGCTGCATATGGTCAAATCTCCGCTCCCAGTCCACACGGACCTGGACCTCAGTCCCAGGCGTCAGGGGTGTCTGGGTAAAATGATCAGCCTGTGCACCACGGCGGGTCACTCTCAGCACAGAGATGTCATTGATTGTACCATGGTCATCAGGCTGGAGAAAAGAAATAAAAGATAATCAGGATGGGATGAAGGGCAGGCCCTAACTTCTGGATACAAAGACCCTCTAGGGAAAGTATGTGAGAAACACACCCAGAATTTGAGCTTCCCTAAGGGAAGAGGCAATGCCAAGTGAGGTGGTCCACTTTGTTCCATGAGGGGACTGTCTCTGTCCTCTTCACACTGAGCACCTATATATTTTGTTCTTCAGAACAGAATGACAGAATTAAAACAAAAATTGTAACTAAAGCAATGAAAATTTTAGTAAAACCCAAAGTTTAATCCTCATTCTCACTGCCTTGGTTTAGAGTCTTGTCTTTCAACAGTTTCTAAAATGATCTGAATTTTTCTCTCTCCTTCCATTTCATCTTCTGCACTGCTACCAGAATTAAATTCAAAAATACTCATTCATTTGAAAATATCAAACATTACAAAGTATCAACTGCTTACAAGACACAGTGTCTGCCCAAGAATACAATGTAAACAAGACATGGTCCCTCATGGAACTGAAGAGTCTGAAGAATATAGATATGCAAATGGGCAATTGCACTATGATCTATGATGCACCATAATACAAAAAAGCATGATGTTCTAGAGGAGCTCAAAGGAAAGGGGAATCAGGGGAGACTTCTTGAAAGAAGTGATATAATAAAATGAGACCTGCTATGGATACCTGAGGTCACAGGTTTTCCTTCAGCAGATCAGAAAACCTCCATACTGGGAAAAATCACTGTAGCAGTGACAACACTGATAGGAAACTGGAGCTTTCTCAAAGTCAAGTTTACTGAACATGTTTTCTCAAGTACCTCCATGGCTCACCACAGCTTCCTGAGTGAACTCCACATACCTTAAAATATCCTTCTAGGCCTTCCCAACTGGCCCGCACTTACCTTTCCAAGGACATCTCCAACCTGTCATCAACACACACCACAGGCTCCAACTACATGGGACTATTTGCAGTTAACTAGGCTTGTCTGATTCTTTCAGGCTTCCCTGCCAGAAAAGCCTCTCCCAAGGGCCCAACTTTGGTGCTATTATCGTCTCCCCTGTTCACATTGGACTTTGTCCTTTATATCATCACAGCACCTCTGCCCTCTGTTGTGCTCCTTCAGGGGAAAGTTTTTCAGCCCACGCCAAACATCCTAAGTAAATTCCTATCTCAGGGCCTTTGCACTTGCTATTCTCTATGCCTGGAATACTTCCCCTCCCCAACCAGCACCACTAGATAATCGCAATGGCTTATCCCTCACTTCACTTATGTCTCGACTGAAATAGCTTGCCCCCTACCTAGGAGAACATCCCCATCACTCTCTTTCCATCAACCTTTACTTTTCTTTATAGCACTTATCATAGCTGGCATACTATTTATCTATTCACTATTTTGCCCGTTTTCTCCAATAAATATTCTATGCATGCAGAGACACTTTATTGTTCACCCTTTACCTTTAGAACCTGGAAATAGTACCCACCATGTGTTATGACTAGCTGAGTATTTGTTGATAAATATCTATCGAATGAACAAATGAACTGAACTGAACCAATTTCCATCTGCAGTCAGTACAGCTGGGACAGAGAGGGATGAGAGCCTTTTCCACCTGAGCAGAAAGGAATTAGGGGCTCCTTGGGAGAGGGTCACAGTGAGGGGCGGGCCTGGTACCTGACCCCCGCCCTCAGGGAAAAGCAGCGTGTCTTCCAGCACCACTTGGAAACCGCTCAGCACTTCCTTCTTGCCGTTGCTTCCTTCGGTCTGCAGCTCCGCGGGACGGCAAGAGACCACGGTGGTGGTGAACTGCAGAGAGAGGGATGAAAAAGTAAGTCCCGATTCCAGCCCGCAGGGCACCGAGACTGATTTCAGCTTGGCGCTCCCTCCCCGCGGCGCCGTCTTCCCCGCACCGCCCCGTCCGCTCGGAGCATCAGTCCCTCGCCCCGCCGGCCGTACCTCCCTGGCGTAGCTGTCCCGCTGACACCGGAACGCCATCGCCGCTATCTCCCAGGGCGCCGGGATCCGCGCACGCTGAAACGCCTGGCGGCGGACGGAGAGCGAAGTAGGACAATCTTCATTCCGGGTGCACCTCTACGCAGACGCAAGAGGACAAGAACGGGGTGTGGTTTGGACAAACTTATTGAAAACGCGATGTGCAGGTGTTCGGCGTTGTTTAGCAACTGTTTTAAGAGTTTTTGAAAACAACCGGAAGACGAGACCAAAAAAACTGCGGCTTGAACTTGTCAAATCACTTAGTTTGACCTCACTGGGCTTCAGGGATATACGTAATTCGGCCCTGCGGAAGCCCACCTGGTCGAAATCGGAATGGTATCGACTTGGCTGCGCAGCAGCGCTGCCCAATGGACATGTAATGCAAGCTACATATATTAATACTTTTTATTTAAGTCAGCATATCCAGAATATTATTTTCATGTAATGGGTATTTTTAAGTAAGTGATTTTCCCCCCGCACACAATTTTCTAAACCCACTGTGTATTTTATACTTAAATCACGTCTCAGTTCAGACAAGCAACATTTCAAGTACTCAATAACCACATGTGACCGGTGCTACTGGATTGGACAGTGTAGATAAAGGGGTTAACAGAAGTTAAACTGCAGTCAGTACTTAAAACGTTAAACAGAGTAAAAGTTAAGATTAACTTTCTGCTGTTTTAAATCAACTGATAAAAAGTTTGAAGTCTCCAGCTGTTTCAGAATTTAGGATTTTTCCGATTTTAAGCGGTAATGCAGAGCATACCCATGTGTTACATAATATATTCCACTTGGAACTCTGGAGCATTGCCGTGTAATCAAACGCATTAATATTTATGCAGAGAAATAAATACACTAAATGGAATGGACTATAAATAGCCTCATATTATGTTAGGTCACATTTTGATGCTAAATGAATTTCGGTGACAATTTTTTTTTAAGTAGGTTTTTGGACTTTTTGGTTTTCAGAATTGTGGTTAAGGGGACATATGCTATAAAAGTTCAAGCCCCAACTTTGCCACTTATTGTGACCTACATGGTCACCTATGAAGAAAAGACCTAATTATTTTTTAAGGATGATAATAAGGTTCAAAAATGTTAATGAGGTAATATATAAACACTTAGTAAGTTGTAAAACATGATACAAATACAGCTTTGAATTATAAGTTTTATTTTTAAGTTTAAGAACTAATGTAAATAGCAAAATGGGCGAAAGACATGGACAGAGCACATTAAAGAAATACTAATCACTAATGAAATTAAACAATTAAGCAATCTCATAATTAAAAGCAAATTAAACCAGGTATAATTTTTTATCTTGGCAAACAACTAAAAGGTTTTGGAGAATGGACCACTCTTGTTGTAGAAGTGAACACTCGTGTGATTTCATCTCAGAGCAACGTGGCAACAGCTATCAAAATGTTTACATGTATCTACTCATTGACCTAGCAATTCCACTTCTAGAAATTTACCCTAGAAATTTGGCAGATATTCTTGCCAAATATGTAAGGATATACTTTTTTAAATGTTCGTTGCAGCACTGTCTGAAAATTTAAAAAGACTTAAAATAACCTAAATGCCCCTCTATAAGGAACCAGTTAATTACAGAAAATGTATTCAGTCGAATACCATGTAGCCATGATAAAAGAGTTAGATCTATGTACTCTGATTTGGAAAGAGGTCCAACACATATTAAGTGAAAAAAAGCAAGGTGCAAGATGTACACAGTATGTTCCTGTTGTGTACACACACACTGCATTTGCCTATATATGTGCTAAATTTTAATATATATATATATACTGTATATAAACAATACATGATACTGTATATGTTTACATTCCATATGTTATATATTGTTTTATATGTAACTATATAACTATATAATATAAATGATAGGTATTATAGAATTTATAATGTGTAGAGCATATATAGATATAAAGATGTAGACATAGGTAAATAAAAACTTATTGAAAAAGCTGGTAACCGTGGTTATCCCTATTGAAGGAGTGAAAATTCTACTTTAAATTTTACACCCTTCAATATCATTTGAATTTTTAAAACTATGTCTGTATATTACCAATATAAATTTTAAAGTTTAATTTTTTTAAACAAACCTCTGTACTTTGCCATGAGTTCAAGGGCAAAGTCAGAGTATTGCATTTTGTTTGTCATGGTTTAAGTCCACAATAGGCACTCAAAAAATGTTTGTGGATGAATAGGGTAGCTGATGAATGGAGGAGTAAACAGACATAGGCATTAACTAATGTAACAATTACGTCTGAAAGTGTAAAGATTTCTAGAGTATGCAGGAAGCTGAGGTAGGTTTCTGGCTAGTTCTAGGGGTGGCAGTATTAGCCACATGGTGAAAGGCTGGTTTCTGCTCTGAGAAATCAGAGCATAGATCTGGGCATGGGGAAGTCCCCCAGCTTGGTTACAAGTTACTCCAAACATCTTTTTCCCAATCTCTACAGTGGGAGCCAGGATCTCTGACACCACCTCCCCTTGAGGGGAATTAGAGAGGGGGAAGTGGTTTGCCTCCAGGAGGAAGAAGTACAAGAAGGAAAGAGACAGAGAACAGTTCCTAGATTTATTATAATCTAAATGCTGCTTCATTGGCTCTTGCTCTACCCCTCCTCTCCCCGCCACAGACACAGGCTCAGATACTCAAGAAAGCCCTAATGAGTGGCCCAAATGCAAAGATGACAGACAATTGGTAGGAAGCCAGAAGTCCCACCCATTTGTCCCACCATCTGATGCAGCAGCCATAGTCAAGTGCCTAGGAAGAAGAAACAGAGCATGAAGGAGGGCCCTTAATAAAGAGCTTCTCGAGAAGTTCAGAGGTCCCAGAGGACCCTGGTATGCAGCCAAAGAACTGACAAAGTCCCAGGCCCTAGCTTGTCAGAGTGACTGGAAGACAGCCACAGCTTCCTCCCCAGCTCTGCTGTCACAGAAAGTTAATTACTTGTTGCGTCAGCACTGTCAGAATCATCCTAGAAAAAAAGGACAAAAGTCACCTGTAGAATCTGCGAAGAGTAGACATTTGTGTTCACAAATGCTGCTTATTCTCTCCAGCTCTCTAAGTTTTCTTTGGTGATTTTCCGAATTACACAACTTCTTGGGAGGCTGATACAGAAGTATTTAAATTTTGGATAATAAAATAAGCCACTGGTGCTCAATAAACAGCGCTGGGCCAGGCATTTTGTGTCAGAATTTCAATGAATGCTACTGGTCCTTATAGCTGTAAAGACAGTCAGTAGGGCCAGGCACCAGACTGGAGAAGAAGAGGGGGAGACTGAAGGGAGGAGGGTCTTGCTAGAGTTTTCTACAGCATGGAGAAGAACATAGGACCTCCTGTGTCAAATTCAGATTTGGCTAACATGCACTGAGAACCACTATGTGCTTAAGAATGGGACAGGTGCTTTCTGGTATCTTATTTTTAAGGGCTAAAAGGAAACTGAAGGGTTGAGAAGCAGGCTTTACTTACATCCAGGTCGTCCATTGCAGGAGGAGGTTTCTTGGTGCTAACCTTCTTCAACAGCTAATGGGAAGAGAAAAGTCATCACAAGAGAAAAGAGGGGCTACAGAAGAGCAATCTGCATATCTGTGGACCAAAAACAAGTGGCCCCAGACAAACAGCCGCCTCAGCTTTAAAGTCCCTAATACATCACTGGAATGATCCCTTTTTTAAAAGGAAATTAAGCACACACACACAGCACCCTCCTTGCTAATCCAGGTTAGGGTCTTGCAACTTGAATAAATAGTAGCTGAAATTCTGAAACCAAATGCCATATGGCAGTATACAATTTATTGGGAACTTACTTTATGATATGAATTATTTTATGATAATTTATTTTATGATGTGAATTTTTATACTGTGTAGTTTGAGCTTCCCATGAAGTTCTCTGGCTCAGGAAACACACACACACACACACACACACACACACACAACAAAGACACACACACACACACACACACACACACACACAAAGAAAGTAGAAGAGAGAATAAGAATTACACAAAAGTAGGAAAAGGTTTTGCCAAACATTTTTGGACTCTATGAATAGTAAGTGAATCTATGTATACAGTTTCACTAACAGAATATTCATTTCTCTCATCCCTACTAGATAAACATTGCCCAAAACATGTAAAGACTGTCAGCACCAACGAGCAGCCTGCCTGGGGAGCTCATGTCCCTCTGCCTAGCCCTGATGACCATCCTCCAGAGCCATGTGTGCAGAGAGCCACAGAGAATGATTCCAATGGGCAGAAAACAGCATTACCTCTGCGTAATGTTCCACCTGAGCTAGCTCCACTTCTTCGTCCCCTTCCCAGTCTCTCCAGTTATCAAAGTCCACAGACAACCACACTGGCTGTAAGAGGGAAAGCACAGAGAGAGTCACAGGCCAGGAAGGCAGTGGCAGAAGTGTATAGATGAGTGTGGGCACATGTACAGGAGCATGCTTGGGGGAAAGAGGGTCAATGAGGGTATCATCTTCCCAACAGCACCCCTTGGCTAACCCCCCTCCAGGCTGCCATGTCATCATCATCATCTGCAAAGATTTACCAGAAACTTACTAAGTGCCAAGCACACTGCCAGGCATTGTAGGGGATGGAAAAGCATAGAAACTCTCCCCTCTAGGTGCAGATTGACCAGAGGGAGAACACATCTGGAAAGATAACTGTATCATAAAGCATCCTAGGAGTCAACCAGGCTGCATTCCCTAGGATCAGAGACAACCCTTTGAGGCCCATATTCCAAGTTCCCACATTTAGATAGGGAAAGAAGTTATTCACTCATTCATTCAATGGATATTTATTGAACACACACTATGGGCCAGATTTTGAGGTTGGCATTGGGATTATTAAAATGTTCAATACACAGTCCCAGCCATCAAGAAGCAAATAGGGAAGGGAAATGTAAATAAATCATTGTAATACAATGTGGAAAATGTGACAGTGGGGGAAAGTGTGACAGTGGGTTATGTGGGGGATATCGCAAGAACCCAGAAAGGAGCTATGGGAACCCGGGTTTCTTGGAGTAGTAACATGGTCTTTAAAAAGAGCAGGGATTAGATGGACAAAAGTAGTGGTGATGGAGACTTTCCAAGAAGAAGGCAGAGCTTGAGCAAAGGTACAGAGGTAGATAAATAGCCTGGTGCATTGAAAAAAGATGCAAGCAGTTTGCTGTGGCTAGAATGTGAAGTGTTAGGCAGAGAGTAAGGGGATATGAGGCTGCAGAAGGAAGGAATAGCCAGGTCATGAGCTTGTATGCCATGCTGTGGTGCTTGGACTTCAACCCAAATGGCAGAAGCTACAAGTTCAAATGCCAAGAGTGTTAGGGAGATAATGAAAAGGAGTAAAGTGAAGTGGAGCCCCTGCCCCATTCTGAGCTCCAACTCTAGGCATTTAGCAATTTAGACCAGTGTGGCCAGAGTCTCCAGTTTCCGAGAGAAGCTGAGAATCTGGATTTTTAGGTGAAATCTCCATATTTTGAAATGTCAGTAACCAATCAAAATAATTTTTTAACACTGTAAACATTGCTACAAATATGGGAGCCAGAACACCCAGCAGGCAGCCAATTTTCAACTTTAAGGAGGGAAGAAGCCACTGGAGGGTCTTAAGTGGAAGAGGGACAGAGTCAAATGGGTGTTTTAGACAGACCACCCTGAGAGCAATGCAGAGGATGGATTGGAGGTGGGGCTGAAAGTATGTTACAAACCTCACTCAGTAATGGAAGAAGCCAAATTAGGAAGAGATGAAATAATGGATTCACGACTTTTTAGGGGGTCAAACAGGGAGAGCCTGGTGAGTAATTGAATGTTGGTAGGAAAGGAGCCAAGAGTGAGTCTCAGACATAACTTGGGTACCTGGGTACATAGAAAGCCCAGGAGAAAGAGCAGCACTCCCCACACACCTACCTTGATATCTTCCTTGGTGAGCCGGGGCCAGGCCACATTCTCCTTCCATTTCCTCACAAAGCAAGTAATGGAGCGACCAGAGCGCTTATCCTGAGAGTCCTGCCAGGTAAGAGAGTTTCATTCTTAGGGTCTGAGGTTTAGAATGAATCTCCAGTTTCCCAGGCAGCCATCCCATCCAGACCTTACTGTCCCACCCCACCCTTACCTTACTGTTCACCTTGGCATAGAACTCAATCTCATTGTACAACTCCACTCCATCGGGATTCTTGCAGCTGAGGAGACAATGCAGCTGAGGAGATGCAGGAGGCTGAGTGTGGGAGCATTAGAAGAAGGGATGGTTTCTGGGAAACCAGGCCCTCCAGAGTGGGGGGGCCATTACCTGAACACAATGCGGTGGTCTTCGATGAGTACGTGCACATCGGTGCTGTCCTCAACACAAAACTCCATGAACACATACTTGGGCCTGTCGTACCACAGGGTCCGGGCATGCTGCCTGAAGAGGAGTTGAGGTGGGGCTTCATAGGGGTGGGAGAGGAAAGACGGAGGGCATTTGGGAAAGGTGGAAGGAGAGGAAAATACAGGGACGTTTTATGCTACATCACTGTCAAAGTGGAGCTAAGTAGGAAAGAAGCGGGTGGAAGGGGAGTGATGGGAGTGTGTGTGCCGCGAGGGTGAACCTGGGGAGAATTGGAAGTACGAGAGTAGAGAGGTGGGGAGTTACGGACAACGTTCAGGTCACACTTCCCCTCACTACCGCAAAGTTACTGAGACTTGGGGACCGGGATTTCCATGGGACCTTGCAGAACCTGGTGCGCCCAGAAAACGTGGGGGCAAGTAATCTCCAGGCAAAGGGGAGGCCAGAAGCACTTACCGTGCCATGGCGGCTCCCGCTGCCCCGTGGCGTTTGGAGTCCAAGACAAGGGCCGCTATCTTTAGATCCTGGGGACACCCCCAGCAGCTGCCTCTCCTTTTATGGTCGGGGGAAGGGTTTAAAGGCAGGTGGAATGTGGCCCTACAGCCAAGGGATCCGCACTCCGAAGAAACTCTGGGAGAGCATAGTCCCTGCAGCCCTTCCCATTTTGGGGTATCCAGAAACGTACAGGTTAGGAATAGACGACCCATCCGCCGAGATCAGGGCAAAGGCTACACTAGAGTTGATACATATGGAAGGATTTGTCCCCGGTTTCATTCACCTGTTCCTCCAACGTTTAGTACACTCAGTGCCTGATTCACAGCAGGCGCTCAACAGAAAAGCCAGAGGTCAGAATTAAATCCCGAGGGAAGGCCTGCCCCGAGTGACGTCTTAACTCGGTGACGTCTGAGCCCGCCCACCCTCCTCCGGGTTTCTCAGCCTGCGCGCCGTTGCCATGGCAGCGAGGGGGCGCGGCTGACGTGCGGCGGCGTTTCCTGGAAGATGGCGGCTGTGGAAGCGGCTGAGGAACCGGTAACTGGGGTGGTGGCCGTTGGACCAACGGCGAAGGACGAAGAGGAGGAGGAAGAGGAGTCGCTGCCGCCTGCGAGGCAGTACGCTGGGCGCCGGT